ATAGAATAAAATAAAATATAGATCATTAAAATAATGATCTCTATATAGAATAAAAATAAAGTCTATATTAATGTATCACATAATACATGATAATCACATATATACACCAACTCATTTAAAAAACTAAAGCAAGTCATATTTATAATGAATCTTACTTGTATCTTTCATCATTTGAAAACTGTAGGTCTTGACATTTAATAACAAAAAAAGCAAATTATCACCTTAATTCACCCTCTATTAGTTATAAAACAATGAAAACACAACCAAATAAACCTGTCCTTCATGTGTCCTCCTGTATTACACTTCCTCCTTTCCTTTTCTATCCTTGGCTACTGCAGTGGTTCTATAGAGCTAGTCTTTATTTTTTGTGTTTTTGTGTGTAGGCATGCAGGTGTGCATGTCTGTGGAGGGTAGTTGACGCCAGCTGACTTCCTCAATTGCTCTCCCCCTATGTTTTGACAGTCTCTCACCAAGCCTGGAACTCAATGACTGGCTTGACTGCCTGGCCAGAAAGTCCCTGGGAGTCTCCCACCCAAGCCGTTTAATGCTGGAATTACAAGCAAATGTTGTCAAGTTTGACTTTTTATATGGGTGCCAGGAGTCCATGCTGAACATGGGTCTCAATGCTTGTAAGGTAAGGGCTTTACCCACTAAGCTATCTCCCCAGCCCCTACACAGCATTCTTTATCCACTGAACAACTTATACACATTTACTCTGAAACTTTTGTTGTTAACAGATAGTTATTCCTAAATGACCTATACTAGCAAAGCTCTGAAGTAATTAAAAGCCAGCCTTCTCTTGCCTATTCATGTGACAAGCATGTGCCTTATACTAAGCATTACACTGAAAATTATGTAGAATGAAGACAAAACAATCCCTACTATTAAGGGCCAAAGAGAATTAATATTATTGATCATGCACCACAACTCAGGATATGTGCAAGCTGCTTTACACACAATATGTGACTGAGTCTTAAAGACAGATATTACATTCCCTTTTAGAGATGAAGCTTAGGAAGGTTTAGTAGATGGCAAAAGGAAACACTCATAGGCCTCTGGCTTTTTCTAGTAGATCTCGCTTATTGTAGAGAGAGGGGCACATACGTTCCTCCTGAAGAACCTGTCACTGCTACTACCTGAAAACCAGAGCTTCTCACTACTCTCATCAGTGACCCGCTAATACTGATATGATGCACACAGAGCAGCATACTCGACAGGTAGACAGTGCTTCTCACTTTCAGGTTCACTCTGGATTCTCAATGGTAGAATTTAAATAGTTTTCTAGAAAACACAAATGAACTATTTGAGCTACAGAAGCATCTAAGACACTGACAGGTGGGAAGACAGCCACAAGAGAGGAGAGAAACTGAAAAAAGCTGTGGATTAATCTCTCAATTTTCCTTCCCCAAACTACATTTTCTCTTATTTAAAAACATCTAAAGAAACAGTAATGATTAGGTTACATGTCTACATTTTCAATTCTACAACAAATGGCCATTCACATAAAAATGAGGCTAGGCATCAGTCAGGCATTGTTGAAAAGGACAGAGAGCAAAAGCAAAGTGTGATCTGAGAGAAACATTACTACGTAGGTATTTATAATCGCTTTAATAACATGAAATAATTTTTCTTAAGGTGATGGGTTCACTTTTGTTGAATATTTTCTTAGTGGACAAAAAACTGTTTCATAGCAAAATTAATCACAATTTGGACAGGCTTTATAGTTAACTTTTGCCTTATCAATTCCAGTAAGAAAATTAATTAAATGCCAAATAGTTGCAGACAGTTGTTTGCCTGATTAACTTGTAGACAAGCATTACAAATAAATCTGAGTATGGTCTGCAGCAAACTGAATTCTACTGCTTTTAAGAACAAAGAATTCTTTGGCAAAGAAGATTAGCAACTTTACATCCAGGAATGCCAGTTTAATTTAATTGTTTTACATTCCAAGATTTAATAAGCAAATATCATTTTGATATATAACAGCGAATTTAACAAAGTGAGGAAACAAATTCAACATACAACCAGACTGCCTTTTCTGAACTATAATTACATACAATAAAGAAGCTGGCCAAGCTACCCCCCCCCCATTATTATTGGGACTGAATTCTATTAACATGAATCAGAACAAGTATAATTAAAGGTTAAAAATTTTAAATGTATTCTAATTAAGAGTCTAAGTAGCTGTACAATAGAATGCTGTAGTTAAGATCACACCTCAATGATCTTCCTGGCCTCTTTGTAATTTCCTGTTTGTAGGAAGGCGAAGAAGAGATCATATAGCATTGTCATTTCACCTTGCTCTTGGCTCACAAAGTCCATCGCTAGACAGGAGAGAAGGAAAAATATATGCATTAGAAGAAAAAAAATTAGGGAGACAGTATCACATGAAATTTCTGATAAATAAAAAATTAATAAAGGAAAAAATATCAAGAGTAACTTAAAAGTTGTAGCTTTATCTAATTTTCTGTTGGTGGTCCTTATGTGATAGCATATTGTTATTTCAGTACACCAGCTTTAAAGAAAATTAGTGAGGATAAGATTAATAAATATATATTTACAAAGGCAAGACACATCACCAAAAAACAGAGCATGTGTGTATGTGCACAGATGCACACGCTTTAAAAAGGGGGGGGGGATAACTTTTCTACAGGAAACGGGTATTAAAAATCGAAGATATTTACAATATTGAAAATCTTCTGATTCAGAAGTATAACAAAGCTCCTCTGGGTGTTTTTTCCATTCTCTTTATTTTTTCACATCCATATACTCAAATTAAATATGCAAGAAGAAAGCACTCCAAGTACAGGAAGATTTTTGGCAGTCACTCACCTTTCTGGATTAGATCGGTTTCACCTCTCTCAATCAGCTTACACAAGACATCATGAATCCTGGGTAATATTTTATACTTCTGATAAAGGTCAATGCTGGCTTCAAGAGCAGCAGGTAAATCATCCCTTGAAAAAATAAATTAAAACCAACAAAAATGCATCTAAATTCAGTTTGGATCCCCAGAAACAATTTAGATATATAATGAAACTGTAAATGACTCGACAACAATTGAGCTTTACTTAGGACAGAAAACTACTAAGCCAAATTGGAAATAAAACACAACAGTCCTTTTATGTAAATCAATGTTCAGAATATATAAATCCTAGGAGTCACTGTTTTCCTTGCTTCGTCTTTTGTATTTTGCTTTTGAAATAGTATTTGGAGGGGAAAGTTTGAAAAAGATGAGGGTATTCTATGATTCTCTCATACATAAAATCGGACTATGTATGTAATAAATGATATTGACTATAACTTCTAAAAAACAAGGACTATTGTCATATTTTCTTCCTCACTAATGTACTTCTGTGGCTGTCCACAGTCTCAGATTTGGGAAACTTTATTAAATGTGCACCAGAAAGGTAACCTCAAGCACTTACTAACTTTAACCTGCTTTATGAAAATATTACAATAAAGTAGGAAATATCCTCAGGTTTCAGGTATACATAGATCCAAGTACTCCTAAAATTGGGATAGTCTTGTGGATCAGTGAACCATAGAATTTAAACTTTTTCTTTCTTTAGAGGGTAAACTTAAAAAAAATTACTTCCAGTTATGTCACAGCCTTTTTTAGTAGGTCAGAGTTTCTTAAAAAAGAATGTGGAAAGATTCTTAGGGGTCTTCAAAAAGTACCTTTTTTTTCTGTTGAAAGGACTGTGAGAAATACATAAGGCCTTGAAGAGCTACAGAGACAGTGGGCTCTGACTCTCCTGACAACTCCCTTAAGTTTTCACAGGAAAGATGCAGGCACATAGAGAATCTAAGTAAGCAGAAGGCATGGGCAGCAGCCCCTTGGACTTTTCCCCTTGCAGCTTCTAGCATCTAATTATGCACTATGCTCTGTGAAAAACACCATCGTTTACCTAAGAAGATAGTATAATTTGATAGAAGCCACACCGTTTTAAAAAAAGAGCATGAAATATATTTTTAAAAGAGGCACAGTTCAAGTTGCAGACAACTTCATTCATGACAATCAGCCGATCTTTCTATACAAATGTTGCCCTAGATTAGATTACTATTTTATCTAGATTATGATTTTAAGATATACTAAGAAAGCAAAATACACAAAAGAAGTGTTAATTCTGCTGCACTACCGCTAACCGGTGAGAAACTGAGCCTCTCCCTAAGAGAACTCTGTGGTACCCCTTACCAAGCCCTGTTTACAGTGCATCCTCTGGCACCCCACTGAGTCATTTGAATTTTTGTCATTTGGGGTGAAGACTAAATTACAGGTTAATTTCAAAACCCACAAGTAGATGCTGTAGGCTGGATAACTGTCATAGGGAAAGTGCTATAGCAGCTACCACACATGATATAAAGCTTCATATAATCAGTATTTTCCTTTGCTTTAGACACAGATTTAAGTCATTGCTTTCTACAATTCCACTCAATGGGAAGCTCTGAAATCATTTTTAAGAGTGAAACTAACACATACTTTTTTTAAAAAAACTGGCAAGATCTGCATTTTCAGATCAATTCCCAAACTAGAATCGTTCTGTCTCAATTATATTTACCCTACATTAGGTCAAAACTATCAATAAGTGAATGAATAATTGTTCTGTCAATCAAAGCGACATGTTAATAGACCTTGGTCTCCAAATATATGCTTCTGAAGATTATACATGCTCAGAACAACAGAAAACACAAGAACAGAAAAATGGAAATAATTCATATATTTGTTTGTAATTTTAGGAAAAGTTACTCTCTTGGGACTGACAACAAAATGAACCTACAATGAAACATGCCCTACACAAAGTATACTGAAGACAGAAATAAAGAAACAACTAGGCAATGCCTTGAAGTCTTTATTCTCTACATTTGCCTTGTGAATGAATGGTATCACTTTAAAACTTAAAATTTTACATTCTTCATGTAATTTATATCATCTTTAATCTTTCCTGTTAAAGCTTAAAAATGTAGGTGATAGAAATTTTAAAAGTCGTATACTCATAGGACTCTGGATTCTGCTCCAACTGGTAAGCAGTATACCTAGCTCAGATTGCTAGAAGTGGCTGAACTTGGGTCCTCTGGGTTCCCTCCCAGTTCTGATACTGTGCTGATGAGGTCCACAAGTGACTCACACCAACAGATAAAATCACCACAGTCATTAGGCAGGATGAATCACTAGGAGCAGCAAAATAACTAAATTAAAAAGAAGGTACTTCCTGAACAAAGCCAGGGAGGATACATTACCAACAGATCACACTGATAGCCTCTATGCCCTAAAGTAGCACAATTCCTTTATAGACTTTGTAGGCCAAAAATGATTTTAAGATATCTGAAAATAATAATCCTTTAAAAAATCTTTTACATTAGATCTACATTCAAAACTTTCATTCTGTTATTTCAATATATACATATAATCCCTAAAATTTTTATACAATTTAAAAGTCCACTCAAAAAAAAAAAAAAATCCAGTCACTGTTTTTATAAAGCAAATAACAGAAAAAGAAAATCAGTTCTACGACATATTATTTTCAAAACAAAAATACATTGTGTTATCGTTAAAGTCCAGAGCTCTGTAAAAAAAATTGATGGACGATGTAAAGTAATTCTCATGACTAAAATTACATATATTAATTAAAAAAAAAAAAAAGACATTTTAAACTGGGCATCATGGCGCACGCCTTTAATCCCAGCACTCGGAAGGCAGAGGCAGGCGGATATCTGTGAGTTTGAGGCCGGCCTGGTCTCCATAGCGAATTCAGGTCAGCTAGGGTTACAGGGAGAGCCTGTCTCAGAAAGACCAAAAAAAAAAAAGACATTTTAAAAACTATTTTGCCTAATGTAAATTTACGATATAATTGTTTCCAAATTCTCTGAAATCAAGACAGAACTGGAGAAAAGATGACTCTGCAATTCCAAATTTTAAGAACACATACACATTTAAATAAGGTAAACCTAGCAACTAATTTGAAAACTTAAAAAGAGAATGACATATTAACTCAAGTGGCCCATATAAAAATTCACTTTAGAACATGTAATTTAAGGAAATATGACTATATATAACGACTATTATATATATAAAATACTACGAACTAACTGTAGCTGCATTAGTACTTAGAAGAACAAAAAAAAAGCATTAGTAAAGCTCATTTGGCAAATCTGATATTGCCTATTTTAGTCTTTAATACAAACACTAGGTCAGATGCACACTTGTTGGATGTGAGTTCAATACGAAGTACCCACCTCAAAGACAAGTATCTCTCACTGAAAATCCTTGATATGTGGAAAAGTCACACATTTTCTATACAACCATGAGTTTCTAAAACTTAAGAGTGACCTGTACCAACTGTCTGTTCACACACCTGAAGCTTTCAACTTGGTCTCCTCATACATTAGTAGAAAATAAGGATGGATACTTAATTTAAACAACAACAAAAAGATGATAAATATTGTTTTTTAACTGGAATAAAGTGCTTTACCATTACACCAAAGTGTTGGAGAAGTGGTAGTTTACCTGAAGGGCTTACTAAGATTGAAAAGCTCTGAAATTTGAAATCACTGGAGAAAAGTGGAGCAAGGTGGGATTTGGGGGGAGGTGTGTTAAAAAAACAAACAAACTAAACAACAACTTAAAAATAAACTGTATATTTAGAACAGGTTAAAATCAATTCAGGAGAAGCCATCTTCACCAATTATTCTGTTAAGAAAACCAGCACCTTGAAAGAGCCAAATGTTTTTTTCTGTTCATCATCTGTAAATGAGGAATCTTCAAGGAGACTGGTGTTGCAATTACAACTAATCCTCCCCAAAAAATTAACTGTGTTGAAGGCTTTGTAATTTCCCTAGGTACAATTTAGCTGTCACTTACTTTAAAATTTACTCAAACATGCGTTGGGAACAGCGCTAACTTCACATGTCAAGTGCTTTCCAGCCAATTGAGTCTAAACTGGAAGTCAGTGTTAAACAACTGAATGATTAGACAAGATAGCTCATTTCCCTGCTCTTTTGTTCAGAATAAAATGCCACATTTACATTATCAGGCTCAACAGGATTTTCTGACAGAGGGAGAAAAAACCTTACTGCACACTGTCCGTACAAGCTCATGAAGCCTGTCATTTACCAATCATCCTTCAAAAAGCAATAGCCATGAATGTAACTTAATTACGACCCAATGATCCTTGACGAAAAATCATCTTATCACTGTCCTGTCCCCCTAGGGCAAATGAAACACTTTTTGTCCTTTGGCACTGATGATGCTAAATTCTTAATTGCAATAATGGAGTAAAAGAGCCAAACCTCCTTAATTTCCTTTCAGCATATAAGTTTTACTCTAGAAGGCAAGCATTCCCATAAATAATAAAAGTATCCAGTACAAATTAAGATGCTAAAATTGAAGGGGAGTGTTTATGACAGAAGAACTAGCATTTTAAGAAGTGTATGCCCCATTTATACAACATATATGTAATTCAGCTACACTGAATTTCAAAACATGTATTGTTACAAGTTCATCTTAGGGAAATTCTGACATTTACAAAAATCTCAAGATTAATTTAGCAAGAGTTCCGGACAGATGAAGTTCATGATGCACTTAAATAAAATGCATATATGCATGTATAGATTATAGCACGAATCAGCACACAAAGCAGAAATTAAAGTCACTCTGATCAATGGCACTAATATAATTCAGTTAAACAGCTTCGGATGCTCTCCATATGCAGTGAAACCAAAATGGATGAGGTATGAAACAAGCAAGTCTGAAATCGTGTAAATTTTTATGCTTTTAAATCTAATGGCCCAGATTTTACTAATTTCATTTCCTTTACTATAGCATGAAAACTAATCAAAAGCTCCCTTAAGCCATTTTAAAGAATTTCTTTCTTCCTTAATAATAGAGGATTTGTCATCTCCCCGAATCAGTTATGATTTGAAAAAAAAATAAATTTTAAAATAAAACAGAAAATGTTTAAAAGAACATTTGGGCTCCATGCAGATAAAGGGCTTTAAGACTGTAATTTAATGTGAAGCATACAAAAATTTAACTCTGCATATTTCTTTCCTGTTCAACATAAAATCATCACTGATAGTATAAACACAGGTTATTACCAATTGCTTTATAATGTTATAAACTCTCTTACTGTCTTGAATTTCCCTTGGCAAAGGAATATAAAACAAAATGCATCATTTCTAAAGCCACAAAGCACTTTTACATTATACAAGTAACACAAACTAACATAGTTTTATTTCACCTGTGTTTTAGCCAAATATAGGAAAAGTTAATTTAAAATTAAGCTGAAGCCAGGTATGGTGGTATAAGCCTTTAATCCAGACTCAAAGGAAGATCTCTGTGAGATAGAGGCTAGCCCGGGCTACATAGTGAGTTCCAGGCCAGCTGGGGCTACAGGGAGACCTTGTATCCCCCCTCCCCCCAAAAGGCTGACCTGAATCTTAAAGATGTGCCTAAGAACTGTAATATGAAAGTGATACGTCAAAAAGTGCTTGCCTTTAAATGAAATAGAGGGGTTTTTTTTTCCTTTTTAATGATGTTCTGAAATTTCTTTCATAATTTTATCCCAAGTTTGAACAAATAAAGTTCATTCCACAGATGAGCTCACAATCCGCTAGTCAATTATGTGATATTACTGAAATGTAAACATATTAAATCAAATCAAATACATGAAGAATTTATTCTGATTCTGAATTAATTAGCTGTCTTCCATGAAAGACAAAACACAACTGAATAAAAGTTTCACAGTATTTTATTCTCGTTTTTTCTGATGAAGTGCTCCAAAGTTTTTTGTTGTTTTATAAATATTAGGTTTCCGTGGTTTTACTGTTAATAATCTTAGGAATCTAAAGCAGTCAACATAGTTTTTTAATATGACAGATAAAACAGAAAGATCTTGCAGGGAGACTGCCTCTGTAAAATAAAGATAGCAAAAGAAAAAAATAGAAACAAGGCAAAAACAAAGAAAAACCTCATGCAAGTAAAAACAGAAGCTAGCAATTCTACAAGTATCTGAGCACAGTGAGATACCATAAGGAAAAGATACTAATTTAGATTTCCTTGGCCTACCTGACAGAGATAGCCAAATTTTACTAAGGCATACAAATAACTGACTGTTCTAAATAATCAGAAGCACAGAGCATGCTCCAGGTTAAAGCCAAATTCATGCTGTTTTCATTTTTCCTGAGGAAGCTGTCCTTGGTTCATGAGCCCCATCTGCAGACCTCTTTTGGAAAACTTTCACGTCTCCCCTGCCTTCAAAATATACTGTTTGTAAGATACTTTTCTGCCGTGGCTTCATTTTCTTTGTCAATTATTTTAGTTTTGCCCAATAGTGTAGGAGGGTCTAATTCTTCTGGGCACTGGGCCCATCTCTTTCAAATCCCTGTGTAGAGTTCCACATGCAATTTGCAGAGATGGGCCTTTTAAACAATCAAAAAATTCCAGTAGGAAGCATATTAATTATAGGATTTCTATTTAAAGTTGGCTGTGCTATGAGAACTCAGTAACACAATAATTGTTTGCACCACTGTTTCTTTAAAGGAATGTAATGCTGAGATTGTGAAGGAAGATTTGTCCAATCATCTAACTGGATGACTGCTTATGGTTGGATGGCAAGCAATTATTTTGGGTGTGTGCACATTCATATGTATGAATACACATATTTCCAAACAGAAAGCTAGTTAGAAGAGATTTTCAATTCTATATTTCAAATTCAACACTAATTTATTCATTCTATACAACCATTATACTCTATAATAAACTAAAAACTATCAGAAATTTGGGAACAGAACTGTTACAACATAAACTTCCTTCTTACGGCATTAAGAGGACAATACCCACAAGCAATCAAGAAATCCTAATCACAAGATAAGCACAGTACAAACTGCAGTAAGCCCATTGAAGAGAGACAGAGCAGGCAAGACACAGGAACTTGAAACAAGGAGAAATGCAAAAAGGAAAGAAGGTAGTATCTCATTTTACAACTATTTTTTACTCTTTACAAAAAAATACACTGATTGTGTGCTTTGCACTGCAAACAATACCTTAACCTGGCACCAACAAAAGCATTTCAAATGAAAACATTCCAAACTCAGAAAAATCTTCCCGTATCAGCAAAGTCATTTTCCCATAAGACAGAAACATTTCTCAAAGCTATAGTTAACTGTACTGGGTTATGTGGTTGAAATGCCAAATGGATATGAGGTCGAGAGAGTGATGTCTCTAATTTATTGTCTGGATAATAACCATGAGGAATAATTAAACAAAACAGAACAACCTCCCTCCAGCCGGCACCCAACAACAAAAACATCATCATCAAATTTCAGAGGATCCTTATTTCTTTTTAATTATTTATTATTTTTATGTGCATAAGTGTACTGTCTACATGTATGTAAGTGCACCTGTGTTGTACAGAGTCCCCGGAGGACAGACAAGGGTGTCGGATCCCCTGGAACTGGAGTTACACACGGTTGTCAGCTGCCATATGGGTGCTGGGGATCAAACCTGGGTCCTCTGCAAGAGGAGAACGTGCTCTTAACCACTGAGCCATCTCTTCAAGCCAGGATCCTTATTTCTTATATTCATTAATAATTAGCATTCATTAGGTTCAAAACTTAGGTGAAATTTTGCTTGACTTTTTGTTTTTATTTTAATGAGTGAGGGTCTTCATTTTATAGTCCAGGCTGGACTGGACAGAATTCACTATGTTGCCCAGGCTGGCCTGGAGCTTATTTTATGATTCTCCAGCCCTCAGCCTCCTGAGTGCTGGGATTATAGACATGAGCCACTATACCCAACTACAGAGAGAATTTCATGTAGTAGCATTACATGCTCCTACCAAAACAAAACAAAGCAAAACAAAACAAAAACACCAGAGACCATTCCATTGAGAAATGAGAGCCAGCCCAGGGCTGCGGATGATTTTAAGGAGCACGTGGTCCACCTCAATGCTCTAACACTTAGCAAATGACTCTCAAGACTTGCAAATCATCAGAGCATTCACAAAGTATAATCCCAACAAGATTAGGCTCATTCCTTTTATAACTCCAAAATCCAACATCCAAAATTCAGTGAACTTACTTTTCCAGGTGTACAGTAACCAATGGGAAGCTTATGTTGGTGGTTGGTTTTGCTAATCCTAGAGTCACGATGGCTTCATGCAACTGTTTTACTGTTTCAGTTTCACCTCTTAAAGCTTCGCCATTTAGAATGTGGAAAAAGGACAAGACTGTTGCATCTTTGATAAGAACATCCTTCTCTTTCATCTCCTTTAGGATGTTAATAGCATCTACAATGAAGTAACACAAAAGACCCTTAGGTAATTTCATGTAGGGAAAACAAACTGCTATTAAAACAGCATTTCAAGCCCAGCAGGAATGTAAATTCTAGTGTATAATGCCGATTTCAAGTTAATTACTACTTGCATTTCTAAACGAGACTACAATTATAAATCCACAATAGCATGGTTTTTATCATTTCCCTGCAACTTTGACTACAAATTATAGATAGGGACTGTGTGCCCACTTTGCACCACATAACCCTGTACGGTCTGCCCTATAGCTGTAAGATCCTCCTAAATGGATGCTTTTATCATTCAGAGCTAACATCTGCTAAATCACACCATTGTTTCTTCAGCAGATGGCTTGTCAGGAGGCCAGATAATAAAGATGTGTTTACACTGTATATACAGGCAGACTAATGGTCTGATACCGATAGGGCCTGTTTGCTATGTCGATACTAATTAGCCAAGCAGAGCCAATGAAAGCTTTCCAAAAGACTGCATGTTAATACATTAGATTCATTAAGCTTCATTAGGAAGGCAGAAACAAACATTTCAGGATATGGAATAAGTACATTTTTGTAATGTTGTTTTAAATTATTACACAGAAAAAAAATGTTTGACCACTTTGCAAAAAGTGATTTTTAAAAAGCAGGCTAATCTTTAAAGAGTTCTCTGTGTTAGAAAGGTTCCCCAGAACAAATTCCAATGTTTAAATCAGGTAATTTTCCTATAAATTTTTTCCCTATGTCTTTTCTAAAAATCAAAGAAAAAAGGAAAACTACAGATGAAATTTTAACATAAAGCTAAATCAAAACATTAAGAAACATGCAATAGTAAAAGAGCAAGTGCAATTAATTATACTAGGTTCAGCACTACGTCATCAACAGGGAGATTATAGTATGCAAATCAGCCATAGGATCATCTTTACTTTTCTCATAAACGTAAATAAAAACTCCTAACTAAAATATGTTTTATGAATGTTACTAAAAGTTAAGACAAAACTGCAAAATTCATAATCTTATATATCAGGTTATGTTTATAGGTTTTAGGTTCAGCCTTCAGATCTTTTTAAGTAAAAACAAAGCCATTAGTGCAAGCACATAAGCAAATTGTGCCATAAGTCATGATCTTCAAACTCAATCCACACAGCAATGCTAATAAAAACTAGATGCAGAAATGCAAAAGGCACTGAGCTGTGCAAATGTAAATGACAAGCTTGCCAATCCATTAAAACTAATGGCCTGCACTGTCCATGCAGCTCTGGTTGGATTCACATGCAAATTTGTATGCAAAGTGTTCAAGCACTTTGCAGGACATGATATACCATTAATATCAATTCATGTGTTATTCCAGTGGCAAGTACTGCATCCCATCTTTCCTTTCTGTCCTAAGGCTTACCTTGCAGCCTGCCATGCTTTCCCAATACTTTTACAAGGCCTACGTACTTGGCAGTGTCAAGGACAGCAGAAGGATCTAAGCGGTCACTATAAAATAAAGTCAGTTATGTTGATTAATTTAAAAAAGGACAATAATATTCATGTTAATTACTTTCCAAAAGCTCATCAAAAGGTATGGATTATCAGAGACAACTGGTCTCTGCACTTAACACTTTTAAAGCCATGTATCAATTCACATATAATAATATCCACATGATTGAAGTAAAAATGTAGTACTACAAACATATGACATTATACTGTCTACAAATACTAAGGAGGAAATGCTTTGGCTTACAGTCCTTTACGTGATTCTAGCCTTTACCGCTCAATACTCAAATACTCAAAATCACTTATTTTCATCTTATAAATCTACTAGCAAGGGAAACTGAAGATCCTTGAGAACTGGACAGGATTTTGTCTATTATATTTATGCAGAGAAATATCAAAGAGAATAAAGCAATTATCATCACCACTACTTCCACATGCTGTTGCATAATCAATGGAGAAAAAAACTTTAGCTTTGAGAACTAGAATGTCTTACCAAACTGAAAAGACACCTTACTGAAAACAAGATATAATTAACTGAAGAGCATTATGAAACCTTAACACTGACAACAAAAGAATTTCGAAAAATATGTACAACAGTCATATTCAGTCTAGGCACCCATCAAGGACTGTGCTTCTGCATAAAGGCTGATGTCCTGTTTCGGTGTACAGTACTTACAATTCTTGTTTCAAGTTCAATGCATCTTCTGCATTATCATGCCGACAGCACAAATGTATTAAAGCTGCATAGCCACCAATAACCATGTCCGATTCATATTTTGCTTTCACCTCAAGGGCCTTTTCCATATTCTAGAATAAAAGAATTTGTTGAAAAAGAAAAAACTGATCTAAAGGTAAAATTTTTAGGGTTTTTGTTGTAGTATTTTGAGTTTGAGAAAAGTTAAGCATACTAAATGATTTCATGGTTTTTTTTTTTATTATTTTTATTTTATGTGTATGTGTGTATTGCCTACATATAGGTAAGTGCACCCATGTCGTGCAATGCCCACGGAGGTCAGAAGAGGCTGTCGAATCCCCTGGAACTAGAGTTACAGACAGTTGTTAGCTGCCATGCGGGTGCTGGGATTCAAACCCAGGTCTTCTGCAAGAACAACCAGTGTTCTTAACCACTGCGCCATCTCTCCAGCCTGATTTGATGTTCTTAACCCTACCCCTGGGTACTTTTATTCACTTCTTAAAAAGATGACAGGCCAAGGTATATAATACAGGGTTTGAACAATTTCTTCTTTTTGATGAAAAATAGTCTATTAATTATCAACACTGATGTTTTAGCTTTTGCACTTTTTTTTAAAGACTTCTATGTCTGCCCTAACAGTCTCATTTCCAGATGCAGAAATATGTGTAACTAAAATGTTCCTCAGTATAGTTTAGTATTCATGTCAAGAAATCTGCTTCAGAATGTAACAGTACAATGTCATAATCTCAAAGTTAGTTATGGTGTTTTTCTTCCCCTAAAACCACAGGCTTATGACCAAATCATACTGAACCAGAAACTGAAAAAGGTCCTATGATACTCCAGAAACTGCAGACACATCCTAAAATGAATGTAAAGTACAGCTGGATGCCTGGTAAAAAAAGGAAAAGAGATCCTTTATCTCAGAAAGAGCTTTTTTTCCAGTAGGAAAATGGAATTTCAATCCCTGCATTAACAACCTAGCTATATTTGACTTGCAAATGACTACTGCATGTATCAGTTGCTTGACAATCTAGATATAAGAGACCGGAGCCATGGCTTGAAAGGACATTTGGCATGTATGATAAACCTATCACGGCTGTTACTATCATTCACTTTGCAGATTATTGTAAACAAACTACAGCAATCCGAAAACATGCCATTCAAGGTGTAGCTGAAATTAGTTAACCTTTCATTTAATTGCACTGTTCTCAAGCATGACACATAATAAATTGTAAAAATCATTAAATGTTAAATTTGATTTTGCTGACTGTAATCTATATACAGTATTTTACCAGAACAGCCTATTTGAAATATTTTTTTAAATGTTACCTCTTCTGAACAAAGCAGTAGGATGAGTTGTTTTAGGACATCTCCTATTGGTTGGTTTCCAACTTTGAGTTTTTCAAGTGTTGATTCCAAATCAGATGAAGTAAGCTGTGGAGTCTACAGAAATGGAAAAAGAAAAAAAAATTTACTACAGAAAGAAATACAACCCTAGTTACTCTTCTCTTTAAACTGACTTTCTTAAATGTCAAAAATATTGTTAGGGAAATGAACCTTGGGATCCACAGATGGAAAGGACCCCAGTGGTTTATGACCCAAGATTATATACAATTATCCTAGATCTGCTAGTTCTTCTGAGATGGGGAACAGGTTTTACCAACTTGGAGGCATGTAAAATGATTTTACAAGGATACCACCTCGATTCTCATTAGATGCAGTTATTATCACATGTAGACACCATTTTAAAAAAACTACTCACTTTTCGAGAATCTATCTTCTCTGTGTCAACCAGAACCTTAACATCCTAAAATTGGGATTTAAATTAGTAGAGAATTAGAAAACACGGGGAAAATCTCTTAGTAAATGTCAAAGGCAAACTTTAAAAGTCCCACCTCATTTTTTTTTTTTTTTTGAGACAGGGTCTCCCTGTAGCCCCAGCTGTCCAGCTGTCCTGGAACTCACTATGTAGACCAGGCTAGCTTTGAACTCACAGAGATCTGTCTGCCTCCCGAGTGCTGGGACTAAAGGTGTACGCCACCACGCTCGGCTTCCCACCTCATTTTAAAAAAATATATTTTATTTATTATTTTTATTTAATGTGTATGCGTGTATTGCCTGCATGTAGGTAAGTGCACCTGTGTCATGCAATACCCGCGGAAGACAGAAGAAGCTGTCAGAGAAGCTGTCGGATCCGCTGGAACTGGAGTTACAGACAGTTGTTAGCTGCCATATGGGTTGCTGGGATTTGAACCTGGGTCTTCTTCAAGAACAGTCAGTGTTCTTAACTGCTGAGCCATCTTTCCAGGCCCATCCCACCTCATTTTAAGGCTCTCTACTTTTCTACTTTTTCTTTTTTTTTTTTGGTCTTTTTGAGACAGGGTCTAACTGCAGCCACAGCTGGCCTGGATTCCCCATGAAGACCAGGCTGGCCTCAAACATGCAGAGATCCACCTGCCTCTACATGTGCCACCATGCCCGGTAACCTTTCTAAAATTTTACAGAAATTCTGTTCATACTTTATTAACCATTGCAATTAACGGTTTAAATGTTTCCTTTAATATGTAAATAGTTTTAACCGACAATCAATGAAAAGCTGTATTTATATTCATGATTGTTACTGAAATTTTAAAAATTTGGCCCAAACACTGAACTTCAACAAGCATTTTATAAAGTTGATTACACTCACACACCTTAATCAATTCAGGAACATGGTAGCCCTCCAGCAGATTACGAATGCCTCTGAAGATGTTTTCAGAAACTTTAATATTCTGTGTGAAGGAAGGGATTAGGGTAGGGGGAGAAAATCTGAGTTTTAGACAACTAAACTGAAATTTGTCTAACAGAAATTATCTCAGACATAATTTAAGTCTCCAACTCCTGCATGTCATTGAGAAGTGGTCCCGCTGTACTTAAAAGCAGCAATTTCAAATCTAATAGATACATGTCAGGCAGGACAGACATTATATAGCAAAAAATGAAATGGTACCATCTTCTTCAGCTGATGGAAGTATTGTCTCAAATGCTCCTCCTTGGCCTGTACCTCTGAGTCACTCATGCTGTCAATCAAGTTATAAAGAAAATAGCCAACAGCTTCTGTGGAAAAAAAAAAAAAAAACAAGAGAAAGCATTCCACTAAAATTACTGAGACTGTCATGTTATCAAGATTAATTTATAAGAAATCATTTTGGTGTGAGATGTCAGCCTGATGAGAGGCTCTGCAACGGCAACAATGATCACTGAGGCATGGAGATTATGTGGTTTGGGAGCACATAGCTAGCTGCTGAGTGAAAGGAATATTAATTATTTTCAGACCGAGTGACAGCTTTTCAGTACTGCATCTTACTTCAATCTATTTTCCCACCACTCTGTGACAGAAGTGGTCCTGCCCAAGGCCTTACCCTTCTCCTGTCCACAGCACAAGTACTGAGAATAAATAAATATCTTCACATATTTCTATACTAATTTTTTTGTGGACAATATTTAAGTAAACACATAAAATTAGAAAGGATTGATAAATACCGAGTATAGAAAGTGAAAATAATGTTAATAAGCAGATATAGTAATCCCATGGAGAGCTGCCTATTAGCCAATGAAAAACCAAGATTAACAAATATGTTTTGTAACAACAGTAATTTTCTTATTCATTCAAGCATAAAATGCATAAGGCCATGTGTTAATGCTTAGGAGATTTGGACTTCAGAAAGGCACCTTCTTATTAAAAAAAAAAAACCAAAAAACAAAAACAAAATCTATATAGTCCACATATAACAAATGAAGGTCATTAAATGTCCAAATCATGTCTTTTAGGTAATAAATTATATTTAAGTGAAAAATCTACAAGACCTTTTCCTACTTTATTTTTCAAGTTAATCATACCTGCAAAACACTAAAATCGTCACAACACAAGACTCACTGACTTTTCAGCCTGTCTCCACAGATGCTATTAGAAGCACTGCCTAGATACCTGAAAAGAAAGTCTCACAATGCTCTCTCTAAAGCCAATTATAATAAAACCATCCACCTTAGAAATCGCTAAGTGTTGTCATTATTGATAGAAAGATTATTATAACCAAATGTGTTTAAATTTCACTTTCAAAAAGAAACTGTTCACTGTTGTAATCCTTCTAGCCCATCATTACAAAGAAGAATGGATTTGTGAGTAAGTTACAATCATCGAAATTGAAACACTACCCGTTGGTCCTGGAGGCTCCTGGCAATAACGTCCATCCTTGTACAACAATTCTGTTATCTGGTAAGACAGAAAATTCATGCATTGCAGCAAGAGAAGCAAACAAGAACAAATACAAACTGAAATTGAATTCTTGAAATAATAAAACCTCTCCCCAGCAAGGCATTATTCTATCACATTAATCCAATACCACCCTACCTACTAAGGAGATCACTTTGCTTTTAGATAATAGGTTTGTCTTCTAAAAAGAAAAACAAACTCATGGTGAAGGAAAACTACAGTGTTCTATGAATTACAAAGAGTCTCTAAAGTGATCTGTTTAAACTTAAACATTTAAAATTTAAAATTAATTCTTGTAGTGAGAAAATCACTTATAGTGATTGTGAGCCAATATTTTTCATCACACTGTTTATAATCTTATACTGAAATTAGGTCATTGCTATACTTTAAAATGAAATTTTAGAGGAAAATAAATCACTAAAATGTGTTGGACCAGTAAACAGTTTGTACTTTTTGGTTTTCAGTAACAGCTTCCCATTTGTTTAAATGTCTGTAAAATAGGGGTCAAAAATTCTTGTATGTTTGGATTCACAGATTCTTATCAATAGAATGCATAAACATTAAAAGATATAGACATTTATTTCTCAGGATTAATTTTCTCATGAGTTTTTAGTTAAAAGATCCAAATATGTATTTTATGTTTACAATTAACATACAATCTTTAATACTGACTTCTAACATCAGTATGTGACTCTGTATCCTCAGGCTGAAGACAGAGCAGAAACATTTTGCTTGTCCAAAATGGTAGGGGCTGAGAGTTCTGGATTACTTGATGTGCAGTCTGCATCTCAGTCCTTGTTCTTTTTAAAACAATGCCTGACATATCTAGTACATGAACACAAACTGCCATTATTCTACTGCCATTCATTTGCTGAGGTGGAAAACTGGGCAAAACTGATCATATGCCACCATGAAAATTATGCTTCATTTAATGGCAATTCAAAGGGTAGATAAAAGCAAGAATTATTCAAAAGAAAAACCAAAGAGTCCTCTTCCATGAACTGTCTTTTTTTCCGGTCTTTTTGAGACAGGATCTCCCTGTAGCCCCAGCTGTCCTAGAACTCGCTATGTAGACCAGGCGGCCTCGAACTCACAGAGATCCGCCTGCCTCTGCCTCCCAAATGCTGGGATTAATGGCATGCGCCACCATGCCTGGAGCAACATACCACACAAAGAAGATAGTCAATTCTACCAGAAACTGTAGTCACACATAGGATGTAAGAGAGTTGTAGCATTCAATGATAAATTTCACAGACATATTTAATGAATAAACCAGTGAAACTATCTCTGGTCAAATAATTATTTCTATACATAACCCAACTATACATTTGAATTAAGTGTATAGTTTGAATGGCAATTTAAGTAATGTTAGATAGAAAATTATATGAAATTTAGATTTAAAAAATACTTTAGCCTCGGAATGCAGCTCAGTGTATAGCATTTGCCAAGCAGGGGGAAGGTCCTGGGTCCAACCGCCAGAACTACAAACAGAACAAAACTCAACAAATTTAAAGTGGGATTTTCAGTTAACAGTGTGCATCTGATCTTATTAGGCTGAAAATCTTTGATGCCACCATCATGATTGTTCTTCCTGCACAAAATCAGTCGACTTCTTCCAAAGGTAGCAGTTTTAAGTTGGTCTACATACCATCTATATATAGAAATACACATAAACAAATATACATGTGTGCATCAAGAAAACTGGAGTAGGGATATAGCACTCACTTAGCATATGGAGTGAGGCCCTAGGTTCAAGTCCTAGTACCACAAAGAAAGTTAATTATTCAGCCTGTGAGATCAAATGTCACTACAATAACTATAATAGTTTTGTTTTGAAAACTTAGGAAGAATTTAAGATTAAGTCAAAGACCACTTGAGTGACAATTTTCCCGCTGTTTTAGATCTACCATTTCAAGATTCTAGATCTACTAATTTGTAATAGTACATCATAAATGTGTGACACTATTAAATAAAGACTTTCTTACATGGATCATAATATGATTTACATTATTAGAAACACTTACCTTACTCAAGATCTACATTTTAGATCTACCATTTCAAGATTCTAGATCTACTAATTTGTAATAGTACATCATAAATGTGTGACACTATTAAATAAAGACTTTCTTACATGGATCATAATATGATTTACATTATTAGAAACACTTACCTTACTCCAAAGATCTACATTCATAGACCTGCAGAGGGCAGCAAAGGATTAAAAATAAGCTCAGAGGTTTAAAACACGTTTTAAATTAAAATGTACCAGCAATTATACCACATATGTGCAGATCAAAGCCTTTATATGAACAAGTAAATAAATACTAGCAAAACCAAATTAAACTATTAGGACAAAGTAATTCAGAAAGCCACTTTTAAAATTTCAAAATAAAGTTTGGTTTGGCTAGGGACCATTAGAGCCACCTTTGAATGTTAAGAGTCCAAATTTAAGGGAACAGGGTTATTTGCATTGCTTCCAACTAACGGGGAAAAGAGTAACTAATACTGGAAAAATGGAATACTTTGAGTGGGTGATAAACACACACACAGACACACAGAATACTCATGATCAGACTGATAAGGGCCCACCAAACGCCTAGTACAATGAATTACAAACAAGGAAAGAAGTATGTAAGGTTGCTCTCGGGGGCGGGGGGATGATCAGAACATTAATGGTATAGGAGTCTTTCTAGATTCCAGAAGATTCTAGAAACTTCTAGATCACTAATAATAAAGCAAATATTCCTCAAATTTCCAGAGATAAGAATAAAATCATGTAAGTTGCTTCACTAGAAACAGGTAAAGGGAAGATGTTACAGACGTCTAGAAGAAATTCTACAGGATCAGAATGGCTTAGGCCTTTCAACAACCCTCAAGGAAGATTCAGTAGAACAATGAATGCCCTCAAAATCCTAAAGGCAAGTGATTTCCAACCGTAGGCAAATTATCAATCACAGCTGATGCTAGAATGCAGACACTAAAAATCTCAAAAAAAATGTACCATATGCTTGCTTTTCTCAAAAAGGCACTAAAGAGTGTGCCCTCTACTAAAACAGGAGAGTAAACAAAATAAAAGTATCAGATACAGAAAACTGAAGATTCAACTCAGATTAAAAGATCAATGAAAACCTTCTGGATGAAAGGGAAGAAGCCAGGAAAGCAGGCAGATAACCAGCCTAGACTGCAGACCACCAGCACCCACATGCCCATTACCATAGCCTTCTTTAATTCTTCTTTGTTTAAAAGACAGGTTCTCACTATGTATCCCTGGATGGCCTAGAATTCCCTATGTAGAACAGGCTGGCCTTTAATGCACAGAGATCTGTCTGCCTCTGCTTCTAGAATTCTGGGCTTACAGGGGGCGCCACCACACTCAGCTATCATAGCCTTTTAACCTAAGGTACTGATGTATCTCCATTATGTGTTTGATCAGGTAATGGTGGAATACTTCCTTCCCTCTTCATGCCCTGCACTTGAACTAGGTGACAGCATTCATTTCACCCATGGTGAGCTTACATATAGAATGCATGGGTATCTGTTATTTTTCCAGATGCCTAGTATTTGGTCACAGACTCCTCAGGACTTAACCATGACCTTTCCACTGACTTCTCTGGAAGGGGCTTTCATAAGCTTTTAGAAAACTGAAGCCTGCCCAATCCAGACTATACAGATGAGGTTCTCCTGTGAGACTTGATACAACGACACTTGCTGCTTTGTCCTCATGGCCAGGTTCTGTTTACTCAGTCTTTCAAAATTAGTTATATACTGCTTGAGAATAAAAGTGGCACCATTATAGGGAAAAGCAAGTGAAGGATGATGTTTAAGTCAGCACAGTAGGCACCTTTGGAAGGCAATATGGGAGCAAGGAGGGACACATAGAGGCTCCTAAGGCACTACTGGAATTCCACTGCCTACACTCAATGGGTAACTGCTCTGAGCTTGTTTTATACATTATTCAAGTCTGTGAATGTACAATCAAAAAGTAAAACAGGCCGGGTATGGTGGCCCACGCCTTTAGTCCCAGCACTCCAGCACTCGAGGCAGAGGCAGGCAGATAGATCTCTGTGCGTTCAAGGCCAGCCTGGTCTATGTAGCAAGCTCCGGGCCAGCTGGGACTACAGGGAAACCCTGTCTCAAAAAGACCAAAAACAAAAACAAACAAACAAACAAAAAGTAAAACAAATTTTCCAAGGCCTCACAACTAATGAAATACTGGAACCAATCTGAACACAGGTAGTCTGGCTATGAGCCTTGGCATCTGCTACTTGATATATTAATAAATTAATTCTTACTTCTGCTTTGCTCACAACCGAAAGAAGTTTGTGAGCAAGTAGAATTTGAAAAAGGCTATGGTTTTCTCTACACCTTTCTTAATTTAAGCCTATTTTAAGAATGGATTTGTTTGAAGAACATGTTTGAAAATGCATTAATACCATTTCTGTTGAGGGCTGAGTTCAGCTTTTAAGCAAACCTTTTCTGAGATAATGGAATTTGGGGGGAAAAGAATCATAACAGAACATTAACATTTTAGATCTGCTAAAGACAAAGGAATCTAAAATGCCTGGGCAACAATGACAGCTCTTCCGTGAGTTCTACCCAGTAATACTGACATTTCTCAAATAGCTCCTAGGAGAGAATGTTTGCAAGACTATCTTTTTGGTTTGGGGGTGCTTTTTTTTTTTTTGAGACAGAGGCTCACTCTGTATCAAGCTGGCATAGAACTCATGGCAATCCTCCTGCTTCAGCCTTCCCGATTGCTGGGAACACTTGATGTGAGCCACCATACCTGGCTTACAAATAATCCCTTCAGAACATTCCTGCACTACTTTAGGAACCCTTTTCATAGCACTGACAAACATCACAGACACTTAAGACATTCTCCTTTCCTCTGTGTTACAGAAAGCAAGGACACTGAAATACTCACCTTTCATGGACACAGGCAAGGAAAAACATAAATGGAGAGTCCTGACTTAGGTGAATTTTATAGACGTTTGAGGTCTTCACCACACAAAATAATTTTTTTTAAATCCTAAAAATATATTTTAAAAATTCTAAGGATATTTAATGTTTTTTTCCCCAAATTCTAAACTGAACATCTCTTTCTTTAGACTTCTGTCCTCTACATCTCTGTAGCTTGTAATACTACTACAATTTTTTTTCCTTAAAACTTCCTCCTAGGCTTACAGATTCTACTAATTGCCACTTTACCTCTTCACTTTTCTGCACTTCTGCAAAGTAATATACAGGAGCTATGAAAATAGACTACATACCTTTTAAGCAGTAGTCTGTTTAGACTCTAGCCATCAAGAAAAATCTATCCACAGAAATAGAAACAGAAACACACACACACACACAGACATACACACACACACACGGTAATTAATACAGCACTTTGATTCTTAGTAGTGTAAAACTTTATAGCAATTTGAGTCCATCATTAGGGAAATGACTAAACAATTCTATATACTCCTACTATGCAAAGAAAAACAACAGAGACGGCATAGATTTTTATCTAACTATTTATTTTTTGTGTATATCCACCACATATGTGGAGACCAGAGGGCATTTAGGGAGTAGGTTCTCTCTTTTGAGGCAAGATCTCTCATTTCTGCCACTAACCTATACACTCCAGGTTAGGCTGGTCTACAAGTTTCCAGTTAATTCTCTGGACTTACCACCCCAATGTTTTTTCAAAAAATTTTTATTTATCATTTTTATTTTATGTGTATATTACCTGCATGTATGTAAGTGCACCCATGTCATGCAAAGCCCACATAGGCCAGAAGAGAGCACAGGATCCCCTGGTACTGGAGTTATAGGTGGTTGCTAGCTGCCATGTGGGTACTGGGAATCAAACACAAGTCCTCTGCAAGAACAGCCAGTGCTCCTAATGGCTGAGCCATCTCTCTAGCCCCTCAGCTTCCCATCTTGCAATACTACCGCCTTACATTTATGTATCACTGCATCCCACTTTTTACATGCATTTCAGATTTGAATTCAAATGTTGTCAGGCTTGCATGGCAAGTGCTTTTAATCTCCTAAGCCATCTCCACGCTCCAGGTGTTGTGTTTTTAGAGCACAGGTTTTTATTGAGGGAGGGGAATTACTTCATGAATCCTATAATAGTCACAATTTTGTAAGATGCAACTTTTGTGAAGGAAGATGAACCTGACCTTCGATAAATTCTCAAAGGAGGGTTGGCTTGATGGCTCAGCAAGTAAAGGTGCTTGCTGCCAAGCCTAATGACTTGAATTGACTTGAATTTGATCCTTAGAGCCCTCATAATGGAGAAAACAGACTCCTACAAGTTGTCCTCTGACATTCACACATGCACACGTAAAATAAAAATATAGCACTATAACAGAACCAAGCCAAAAGAATTAAAACTCTAATTCTACACTGCTTCCCTCAGTGCCTTCAGCCACACTCACTGACACTCAAATCCAACTCTAACCTCTACCAAATATTTAACCATTATTTAACATACATGGATATCTCAAAACCAACATACCTGAAAATGATCGTCTTGATGAGTATTTCTCCCCTCGTACCCCCAATTAGGGCCAAGATAGTAAGAATGTACATACATAGCTGGGTGTAGTATGTTAGGATCCTGTTCAAGGACCAGCATTCAGCAGACTCTTGATCTCTACACTTTGGCTATTTATGACCTTTTGTGTTCCTAGCCCTCCACTACTACTAATGAGGAAGCTTCATTACTGAGAACTGAGAGATTCACTAATGTCCTCTTCATTATCCCTATTCGATGTTCCATGAGCCTTAGAAAACCCCAATTTTTAATGAGTTCATATATCATATGGAGCAGAATGACCCAAATGACCAAAAGATACTGCAAGGCTGGGCGTGGTGGCACACGCCTTTAATCCCAGCAATCAGGAGGCAGAGGCAGGCGGATCTCTATGAGTTTGAGGCCAGCCTGGTCTGGTTTCCATAGTGAATCCAGGCCAGCCTATGGCTACAGGGAGACCCTGTCTCAAAAAGATCCCCCGCCAAAAGAATGTACATACATAGAAAATTTGAGAGGTTAAATTAACAGGGCATCATGCTCAATTACAAATCAGAGGAACTGCTGTGAACTATTCAGATGCTGGACAAGGCCAGGGAACAAGTGCCAGAATCCACATAGAGCTCAGAACGGCTCAAATTCAGTGGGAATACTCAAGACTACAGACTGCTC